ATATATGTGTACAAATTGCATAAATGTGTGTGTGTGTGTGTGTGTGTGTGTATATATATATATATATATGGCATTGATGTGTGGCTATGCCGAAACCAAAGCCAGACTTGACTAAACCAAGACCCCAAACCGCCGTAAGACCTGAAACCCGCAAAACCCTCAACAGGCTTTTTCCACCCGAGCCCTAGAGGTGCTGGAAGCCCTACACAAGCTTGCCCATAAAGCAATGAACCCTATCTTAATTAGTGGTATCCTTACCAGTACTCATAGGAAAAGGCGCCAAACCCTAAACCCCTAAACCCCAAACCCTAAACCCTAAACCCCGAAGCAGGCTTTTTCCATGTGCATCATCTTCTTCTTCGCTTTCCGGCTGCTTGGGGTTTTCATCCTTTGGCGGAAGAGCCTCTTCGTCCACTGAAGGGCCCCAGAGACACTCGAGTTCTCCCTAGGCCCCCCCAACTACCAGTTATTGTAGCCCCAGGTACCTAAAAATGGGAGATATTAGAGCCCTTTAACGGGACTTCGGGGGTCCTGGTCGAGCCTTGAATCCTAATTAAACCTTACACCCTTATACTCCACACCCCATCGGCTCCGAACCTGGGACCCCAAACCCTAAACCCCTCAAGCTCTAAACCACAAGGCCCAAGATGCCATAATAATCTCCTGCGTTCTTAAGATGAAGGGTACCTTGCTAAAAACTCACTGGAACTTCCATTCCCTACTGTAATTCGTGTCTAAGGAAGGCTTCTGAAGAAGAAGCCGAGGGATGCGTGTGCAGGTATAACACTTGCTTGATTCTCAGCCAATAGCCTTCTGTTTAGGACTGGATTGGGGTTCAGGGTTTCGACACTCCGAACCCTGAACCTTAAACCTTAAGTGCTAATCAACCTTAGTGGTCCCGGCAGTGCCAGATCCATGCCCATGCCCGAATCCCGTAAAAGCCTTCAACGCGGTGTTCCAAGCCGAACGGCTCACCAGCGATACTTATTTTTCTGAATTATGGATCCCCCGTGTGGATCCCGTGTGTGGCACCTTATCAAGATTTGATGATATTCCTTCACTGAAGGAATGATGCTGTTTCTGACATACATTTGTGTTGGGATGTTGGTAAGTATGCAATCATGGGCTACTGGTGAGAGCGTGTTTGATCTTCCGCCTGGGGCCACAAGTACTTTCAAATATGTATATACTTCATGATCGGCGTCCCCAGCTCAAGCCCCCAGCCGCCCGGAAAAGCTGTAAGCTCTCAACCCTAGACCCGTAAACCCTACTACACAAAACATCACAAAACCTGTAAGCGGCGTAGCAAAAGCCTACCACAAAAGCATGCGGCATATTGCGATATTACGTAGCAAAATTAAGATGATTACCAATCCCTAAGCCTTGTGTCTCTGGGTACAGGAATGAAAAATCTCATTTTGTGCGGTCGAGACCCTGCTTTGCCAGCCGCAGTGCCCCTTTAAGCTCAGCCGGGCATGTTTTTGTTGGGTTTTACGTGGTGCAGCCGAAAGGGGCCAAGTGCCTAATAATCGCAGAACTTCCAAAATACTAACCTACATAACCACCATCCGCAACGCGAGTACCTAATTATTGGGTCCCTTGGACCCTCCTGGGCCTCGGCTGCTATAGGGTGGCATGCTGCCAGCAACTGGGCCAACCTACACCTGGTAGGCCCTAAACCCTAAATCCATCCCTAACGCCCTTAAACTCCCGAACCCCTAAACCCCGGAACCCTACGGCCGAAGTACTCTTGTAGGCTTCACGATTGGGGTTAGCCTAGATTCTGAAATTTACAATAAAACGAGGGGACTTCAGCATGTCTCCCTTCACAGGATTAGTAGGTTCGGAGTTCCCGGATTCAGGAATCGATAATAAGCCTTCAAAAGAAATCTGTACTAAGCATCGTAAGCCCTACTAAACCCTACGAAGAAACCCCTACGAAACAAAAGCAAGCCCCACCCAAACCATGTAAAGGGCTTAAACTAAAACGTAGCAAACCCCGCTAGACCCTGTGAAGCATGTGTCAAAGTATCTCGAGCTCTTGCAAAACTGGTTTAGGCATTCGCGGGCGTATCCATGGAGTTGAAAACCTGAATTGGAGGGGTTCAGGCTTTAGGGTTCAGGGGTTTACGCGGCTGGGGTTTGCTACACTTGTTCTTGGCCTAGGATTTACGATTTCACGGCATAGGGGTTTCTCCCAACCTCGGATAGCAACAGCAATCGCAAGAGCAGGTTTTACAGTCTTCGTAGCCTGATTAGAAGTATCGGCAGTGGCGATACCCCTGATGATTGCTACATCTGTATGACTTCCTCACACCCTCCACCTTGACTCAAAAAACTCCCCCTGATCCCAAACTCATACTTCCTATGGGGTTTAGGGCTTAGGTCCTAAGCCCTAAACCCCAAAAGGACCCTTAAAATCCCTAAACCCTAAGCCCCTAAATCCTAACTAAACCCTGGCACCTTAAAAGAAACCCCCGAAAGGACACTCCTGAACACCGGAGCCCCAAACCTCCTCAGCTCAGACGCTGGAGTCTGCCACGGCGTGCTTCTCCTGTAGAGAAACGGTTTGGGAACGACGCCATGTTGGCTTAGGGGGTAAAAGCTACTAATAGTAGTAGTAGTAGTAGTAGTAGTAGTAGTAGTAGTAGTAGTAGTAGTAGAAGTAGTAGTGGTAGTAGTAGTAGCAGTAGTAGTAGTAGTAGTAGTAGTGGTAGTGGTAGTGGTAGTGGTAGTGGTAGTGGTACTGGTACTGGTAGTGGTAGTGGTAGTGGTAGTGGTAGTGGTAGTGGTAGTAGTAGTAGTAGTAGTAGTAGTAGTAGTGGTAGTAGTAGTAGCAGTAGTAGTAGTAGTAGTAGTAGTAGTAGTAGTGGTAGTAGTAGTAGCAGTAGTAGTAGTAGTAGTAGTACTAGTACTAGTAGTAGTAATAGTAGTAGTAATAGTAGTAGTGGTGGTAGTGGTGATAGTGGTAGTAGTAGTAGTAGCAGTAGTAGTAGCAGTAGCAGCAGTAGTAGCAGTGGTAGTAGTAGTATTAGTAGTAGTGGTAGTAGGAGCAGTAGCAGCAGGGGTAGGGGTCTGGTGGGGGAGGGGTAGGGGGAGTAGGGGTAGGAGAGGGGAGGGGGAGGATGGAGTTGGAGCAGGAGTAGGTGGAGGTGTAGGTGTTGGATTAGGATGATTAGGGGTAGGGGTAGGGGTAGTCGTAGTGGCAGTTGCAGTGGCAGTGGTAGCAGCACTTGTTGTTGCAGTCGTCGTTGTAGTGGTAGTGGTAGTGGACTAGTACTGGTACGAGTACTAGTTAGTAGTTCAACAGTAGGAGTAGGTTCAAGAAGCAGAGCAACAATTTATTCTTCTGTTAGCACCAGAGCCGAGGCAAGTATGTGTGTATGTATATACCTAGCTATAGATGTATATATCACCTGCATCTATATATCCACGCATCACATAAGATATTTTTACATGGAGGACTTGAAAGATATGCTTTCCTAATTTCGCACCACGCAAGACAGGAAGAGAGACGATCGGACATACTACGAAGAAGAATGTGTGACCAAGCCTCCAGCCTCAAAACTCGACTCCGCTGCACAAAAGCGAAGTCGGACAGTGGTGTGTCTCAGGATCTTTTTTGTTCGGAGAGATGGTTTAGAAGCTCAAAACTTGCGTTTCAGAGCATCTGTTCGAAGCTGTGGGTCTTTAGTTATTTCGAGTTGTGCCGTACGCTTGCTCGAATCCATCACTTGTGATATGGCTGATGGGAATTCCGCCGATCAGGGCTAAATAGTGTTTATCTAGTCGCTCTATTGTTGCGATGCATGATGCCACCATTGTTTGCACTCTTCTTCTTGTTACACTCGTTTTTGTGGATACTGTAGTTATTGCACTCAATCGGATGTCACTCGGGTTGTCATGTTCGGATTGCGGCTGGTCCCTGCACTCCAGAACCTGTCAGGCTCTCCTTCTAAGGTTTCATGTTTGGGACTCTGTTCCGTTCTGTATGGGTTATGTATATTAGATATAGATATACACATACATACATGTGTTGGCATATATATATATATATATATATATATGTATATATATATATATGTATATATATATATATATATATATATATACAGATGCACTTCAATATGTATATATATATATATATGTGTGTATGTATACATATACATGCACACGTAGAGGTCATGTAAATGCATATGCATATGGTTGCATTGCACTGTTGTATGTGTGAACTTGTGCATGTTGCATGTTATAGTATAGTTTAGTAGAGTACGGTATGCGGTACTACAGTATGTACAGACGTATGTTGTGCTGCGTGATATGGCATGGCATCGTATACTGCTACTGGGTTGATATGTACATATGTGTCTATATATGTACATATATATATATATATATATATATATATTTGCATACATATATACATAGATACATATACATATATATATATATATATATATATGTATATATATATATATATGAATGAATGAATGAATGAATGAATGAATGAATGAATGAACGAATGACTGAATAGACATATGCATGTATGTACGTTTGTACGCATGTACTGATGCACGCATGTACGCATGCACGCATCTATGTATGTCTGTGTTCATTTTATGTATGTATGTATGTATGTATGTACGAATGTTTGTATGGTTACTTGCCATCTGTTAAAGTCTAGTATCTCTACTATCTGATGTGTCTTACATAATTCATGTTCTCAGAGTTTAAGATTTCTGAGGCTCCCGGCCCTAAGTCTTGGCAACAGTCGGTGTTACACCGTCATATAATTACCCTATGATACGATGTTTGAGGGGTCATCAGAAAAAGAAGATGATTTTCTGGGACAGATTTAAGTTGCCTCACGCCTGGGACATGCCTGCATCCCGATGCAGAACTGCGTAGCGGATGATTGAATTAGTTTTGACTCTTGAGGACGCATCTGCAGCTTCAAATCATAAAACCTAACCCCTAATCAACCCCTTTATCGCCAGCGCTAAACCCTACATCCTATCTCGTCCAAGCCCGGCGGTAACAGGTTTGAAGATCATGGTTCCCAACAAGATGTGTGAGAACATGAGTGACCTCTTTTCGCTATCCTCCAAGCCAGCGACCACAAGACCAGTTGATCAGCGTACCCTCGGCCCCGAATCACAGCTGAATTTCTGGAATTACCAACCCCCTCCCCGAGAAGCCAAAAGACACAAGCACCTTCGAAAAAATTACACACCCTGAATCCTAACTATATCTTCAACCCTAAATCTTAGACACCAGGATGAAACCCGGCCCCTCTATCGCTGGAACCCCTAAACCCTAACCCACCCCAAACCCTCAACCCCCCAACCCCAAAACCCCTAAACACTCCCTAAACCCTGCACCCATTTTTGCGGCAACGAAGCATCTCGGAGAAGATCT